ATTTACTCATGGCAAGTGACTGGCGTCTTGCACAGTATAAGCCCTCAGTGTGTGTTTGCTCTATTTATATTGCAGCTTTTCTGGAGCAAAGTGGAAACAGCTGAACCTGAACTCAAATGACAGCTACCAGCAAAGTGGTGGCAAAATGATTGAGCTGTGACTGTCTCAGGTCAGTGTTCTTTAGCCTAGCGGTCCCCAACCTTTTTGGCACCAGGAACCGGTTTCATGGAAGACAATTTTCCACGGACTTGGGTGGGGGGGCGATAGTTCAGGTGGTAATGCGAGCGATGGGGCACGGCAGATGAAGCTTGGCTCACTTGCCCGCCGCTCACTTCCTGCTCTACAGCCTGGTTCCTAACAGGCTGCGGACTGGTAGCGGTCCGCAGCCCGGGGGTTGGAGACCCCTGCTTTAGCCTACATCAGAATCACCTATAGCTTACTGGCCCTACTCCTGAGTTTCTGATCAACAGGTCTAGGGTGGAGCTTGAGAATTTGCATGTCGAACACGTAGACCATAGCTGATGCTCCTAATTTAAGGACCATGCTCTGAGAACCACTGTCTTTGAGTGGAAGGAAAGACCCTACAATTTTGGGAATTCAACCCAGGCCTTCAATCCCTATCTTCAAAAGGTGTTTTCTCTTCTGACCCTAGCTGTGTTCAGGAAATCTACCAGTCCAAACTTAACTGATATCTGAACACTCCTACAAGTCCTAAGCCAATTTCTGAGTACCTTCCTCTGTGAACATACAAGGGCTAGGTACAATTTCAGAACTTGGTGGGTTCCCTGAAGTCCAAGTGGAACAGCAAAAACCATCACCGACACAACAGTCAGCACGGAGAGTGCTGACCTTGTACCAATCACTGTGCTGATAATCAGTACATATACTGTACCATCTACTTTTCCGAACTCCTGACAGAGTCAGGCATTATTACACCATGTCACAGAGTAGAAGGAAGCCTAGAAAGGTAAAGTGACATATCCCAAGGCACTGGCTGACGAATGACAGAAACCAGGATTAAACCTGTTCTCTCGACCATTCAACTACACAGCTCTTGCCTGCTCTTTTTACCCCAAGAAACATGTGCATTATGAAACGTCAACAACTGCTGTCTGCCTACATGATTCCTCCATATCTTTTCCAGGATAAAAGTTTCCAGATAGTCGAACTGTTCTTTATGAGGTATGGCTCCTAGTCCTTTAGCCAGACTATTCAAGGTCCTTGGAGTGTGCCCAAGGTAGTCATTATCCTGAAAACTGAATAGGTGGGTGTGGTTATCCAGGGAGGAGTATAAACAATCGTTCTGAGCCCATGGGTTAAGCAACTGTTTGCAAGAGACATTATCTCCTTAGGGTTATTATTATCTTCTGCTGCTTGTTCTCACTCAGCTATCAACTAAAATTACTGATTTATTTACAGATGTTTCTTACTGTATTCATTCATTCTTACTTCCATTCTTTATTGTATTCCTCTCTCTTTGTTTTATACGTGTAGAAACTAAAGCTTAAAGAGAAAAATAGACTTGGATAGGGTCACTCAGATCGTAAATGCTTGAGCAAAGATTCAAACCCAGCTATGTTAGATTCCACCACGAAATATGCATCCAGATTCCAACCTCCCAAGAGTTTGAGCAGTCTGAGGACTCAAAAAGACAAACTTCTCATTAAGCTGAAAATGAAATTGCCTAAACTTCTCCTTCCACACCATATGGCTGAATCCCAGATGACAGGAAGCTCATTTCTGCAACACACTAGGCTCATTTCACTGAGTAGGTTGATGTGAGATTTGTGGGGTGGTCATTTCCTCTTCTTTTCAGCATTGGTAGCAGCAGTGGTATTTATGATGATGCTTCCTTTCTACATTTTTACACAAAAAAGCCAATGCTTCTGATGATGGATAGAGACAGATTTTATCCTAAATCATGCATTCTGTAAGTGAAACATCACAAGCACAAGAAACAACAGCAGCAAACTTATCCACCTGCCCTCAAGCGACCAAATGCTACAATCGTCTTCCAATCCTTAGTTTATGTCACGATAGGGGAGGGGGGGGGAGTTCTTAAATGATACCATCATAGAGTTTTGTACACGAGGATGAAACCACAGTGTTTGGACATCTAAAATATCTTTATCTTTGCAAAGTCAGATTTTAAAGCAGTGAGGTGACTCACGAAGCCCCAGAGACTAATGGGAAGTGCCAAACACCATTTGTACAAAATGATCTCGGCATGAGATACCACCACTTTTTCCCCTGGGCAGTTATTTTAGAACTGGTAGAGCAAAATACTCTTGACTAAGAGGATAGCTTAATGTTTCTGCGTTTGTTTCCCCCCCAAACTTAGAACTAACATAGAAAGTGCCATTCCTATGAATAATAGAGAAAAACATTCATTGTGAGAGTTGGCAAAGGTCTTAGAACTACATTTATGTGTAGCCATGTACACTGAGGGTGGAGTCCATAGGCAAGGATTTGAACATCAGTCCCACCACTTACTGGTACTTGATCTTGGCAAGTTTCTTCATCTTTTCAAGCCTTAGTGTACTCATCTAAAAATGGGACCAATTTGAGGAGGCAGCAAAGTATAGTGCTTTAATGTGAAGCAGTCTGTATTCAAATACCTGGCTGGGAATCCTGGCTCTCACCCTTTACTACGGTTCACCTCTCCCTATAGCTCAGTTCCGTCACCTGTAAAATGGGGATGATAAAAACGGTGCCTGCCTCACAAGGTGTTGGTGAGGTCTAAATGTAATAATGCACATAAAGCATGCTACTTGGATCATGGCAAGTGGTCAGTAGACTTTACCTTTTTTTTTTTTTTTTTTTAAAGACTATCTACTTAAGGGGTTTTAAAAATAAGTTCTAAGAGGTCTCCCAAGGACAGAGTGCAGGGGAAGAAGGAAGCTATACAGCTTAACCTTTATGCCTTAAAAGCCCCATCCACAACCCAGAGCAGTGCTGTTCTTTTTTTTTTTTTTTTTCCTGCGGTACGCAGGCCTCTCACTGTTGTGGCCTCTCCCGTTGCGGAGCACAGGCTCCAGACGCGCAGGCTCAGCGGCCATGGCTCACGGGCCCAGCTGCTCCGCGGCACGTGGGATCTTCCCGGACTGGGGCACAAACCCGTGTCCCCTGCATTGGCAGGTGGACTCTCAACCACTGCACCACCAGGGAAGCTCAGTGCTGTTCTTTTATACATTTTATTGATTGGGGTTTGGTATGAAATTTTATTTATAAAAGTTTCTGTTGCTAAGTTTTAAAAAATTGTTTGAAACTTCTGCTCTAGACAACTCTCATTTTACAGATAGGAAAAAGCAAGGCCCTGAAACACAAAGGAATTGTTCTATCCCCGTGAGCACCTGACCAGCGATTAGACCGCCCCTGGCTCAATGTCTCTGCACCTGGCCCTCCCATGCCATCGAGCTCTGTCAGGATGGCCACTGCCATCTTCTGACTCTGCTGAGCCTGATGCTGGTCAGAACGATGCTGAAGTTTTGGCACTGACAGAGGAAAGCATAATGGGGCCAGTAAGAGTGATAGGGGAGTCAGGGGTAAATACAGGTGGGAGAGTAGAGGGTGAGTGTGTGTGTGGGGTGTGTGCGTGTGCGTGCATGTTTATGTGTGTTATTATGTTAGGCACTCAAGATCCACTAAGTATGAGAGGCTGGTGGAATATCTAGATGAAAAGGAAGACCTAGAACTCAGGGAAGATGCCAGGCCTGGAGATGGAAACTTAGGAGTCATCTAGCAAGAAAGTTAGATATGAATGTGTATTATATCAGATAGAGAGACAGACAGACAGGCCAGACAAGCTGATGGACTGAGGGTGGAGGTGATGAACAGGAGGAAGACAGCACTAATAGAGAAGAAAGAAGATGCAGGGTGCAACTAATAATGTAGACAGCAAATAATAAGTTCAAGTACAAATAACATAATAATTTAAGTTAATAACATCTAGCACTTAGTGAACACTTCCTAATTTTTAGCCAACTTACTAACCACTTTCCATAGATTATTTATTTCATTCAATCCTTCCAGTCTCAGAAGGTAGATACGTCTATTACCCCCATTTTATAGATGAGCAAAACATAGGTGTAAAGAGGTTAGCTAACTTGCTTTAGGTCACACAGCTATTAAAGGACAGAGATAGCATTAAAATTATAGTGGGTTAATTCCAGAGTCTGAGCTTTTAACTGGTACTCATAGAGAGCAAGAGAAGGAAAAGCAGGATTAGTATTAATAGTAGCATGAGTATCAACGGCAGCAGCACTGAATGAGTACTATTTTGTGCTCGGCACTGTGATAAGTGTGTATAACATGATCTAACACAATCTGATTGAGCCCTAGGGAGAACTAGAGGAGGTAGAGGTTCTTAGCCCAATCGAGCAGAAAAGGAAACTGGTTCAGTGATGTTGGTAATTTGTCTAAAATCACACAGCTAGTAGGTGACAGAGCTGGATGAAAAGCTAGGTTAGCTCCAGTACCAGAACTCTTAAACCACCCTGCTAGACCGTTTCGGTGTACAGCCAAATTCAATGATTCCAATAGTGGAACCAACAGAGAAATTCCTATTTTTACAAATAAATTCTTGGGTCCTTAACAACAGAACTTCTAATTCAGTTAAGTCATGCTTGGATCTGTGAACCTGAACTTTTCACAAGTTCCCTAAATGATTCTTAATTTACAACCAGGTTTAGTAATCACTATAACAACATATACAAGTCTTGACTGCTTATTGCAGGACTGCCAGCCTGTGAGGATTAGTACATTTCTTGGTATGAGCACACATCCCCACCCGAAGCTTGATGTTGGCGGACGTGCCACAAAGACTCATGATTTGAGAAACTTTTGAGGTGGGGCCTGGGAGGTTCATCGTCCTTGCTTTGAGAGAGTAAAATTACCTTTACAGGTCATTAGCCGAAATCACTCTTCTAGACACCATTTAACTTTTCCTCTAAAGTGTACACAGTAGCATTAAACCAGTTCAATGACTGAAGTTTACTTACCTAAAACTCTTAATCTCTCAGCTCCTACTACCACCTCATTGTTGTCTGCAGAGAAGAGCAATTTTCCAGAAACTGTCTTTACCTCGAACTTTTTGCCATAAGCTTCTACAGCTTTTGGCCCTAGAAGGGGGAGAGAGGGAATACATTAGTTCCATTGCATTCAGTTATAAAGAGCTTTTCGCAGAACCTGTACATCTGACAAGATTGTATTGGACTTTAATGTAAGTGGATTGGTTTTCAGAAGCTCGCTGTGACAGTTAGCCTCATGACTCTAGCCATATCTTGTCAATTACTTTTAATCATACGCTCTCCAGCTATGGTTTTAAAAACCATTAGGTCCTTCCTCCAAACTAATGCTTGAGTGAGATTTCCCTCAGCTAACCAGCAAATTACTTTCAAATACTTGTAGATTTTGGCTTGCATTTATGAAAGCACAAAATACTCACCACCTCTTGAAGAACCAGCATATCTTTGGCCAGCCCTAACTGTTGGAAAGGGCACCTTTATATTCAGCTGAAATCTGCCTCATCCTTTCTACCCTTGACCCGCTGGCTGCATTTGACACCAGACAAGTATATGAGTCATTTCTTGACAGAAGAGGCTATAATATCTTGTAATTAATTGCCTTGAAAGTTACTGAATCTTTCATGATAGAATTTCATTCAATAAAAAATAAATTTTAGAGGTTTTATCATATCACAACAGATACTCTTCTTGAAGCTGAGGCTATAGTAGCAGCAAAAGGAAGACAAAGTCCCTGATCCCTTAGCACTTACCTGCTGATAGAGATAGACAGACAGACATTTAAACATGTGTTAATAAATCAACCAGAAAACTGCAGAGAGTTTTAGGTATTATGGAAAAAGTAGAACAGGTTAGTGTGTTAGAATTCTTAAAAACAACAACAACAACAACAACATAGAGCTACCTAAATACCTGAAGTTCAGAAGGCTCCAAAAAGCTAGGCCACAGAAATGCATCAGAATAACCTGGGGGTGTCATCATTCTCAATGATAATAGCTGAGATCAAAAAGGAATTTATCTTTTGGTCTGGAAATTCACATAGAAAAATATTTGAGGGTAGAGTCCAGAAAGCTTATATTTTTTCCAAAACTGCCCAGGAGATTCTGATATAACTGTCCCTCAGTATCTGTGCGGGATTAGGTCCAGGATACCCCTCGGATATCGAAATCCATAATGTTCAAGTCCCTTATATAAAATGGTGTGATACTCGCATATAACTTATGCACATTCTCCTGTATACTTTATTTATTTTTATAAATTTAATTAATTAATTAATTAATTTATTTTTGGCTGTGCTGGGTCCTTGTTGATGCGCATGGGCTTTCTCTAGTTGTGGTGAGCGGGGGCTACTCTTCGTTGCAGTGTGCAGGCTTCTCAATGTGGTGGCTTCTCTTGTTGCGGAGCATGGGCTCTAGGCTCTTGGGCTTCAGTAGTTGTGACACTCAGGCTCAGCAGTTGTGGCTCGCGGGCTCTAGAGTGCAGGCTCAGTAGTTGTGGCACACGGGCTTAGCTGCTCCGCAGCATGTGGGATCTTCCTGGACCAGGGCTCGAACCCGTGTCCCCTGCATTGGCAGGTGGATTCTTAACCACTGTGCCACCAGGGAAGCCCCTCCTGTATACTTTAAATTATCTAATTACTTATGATACCTAATACAATGTATGCTGTGTAAATAGTTGCAAATACAATATAAATACTATGTAAACAATTGCCAGCATGGGACAACTTCAAGTTTTGCTTTTTGGATCTTTCTGGAATTTTTTTCCCCCAAATGTTTCTACCTGTAGTTGGTTGAATACAGGAATGTGGAACTCGTGGATATGGAGGGCCGACTGTATAGCATTTTTGTTTCCTTCTAGTTATTTTTCAAGACAGTGTCACTTATTAGTAAAAAGTAGTAGTGAAAGGGTCCTCAGTGCCTTCCCGGCAAAGATCTCTAGGAACACACTTGGAGTTGAACAAGCTGGGTTTTTAACTCATTGCCGCGAGAGAGAAGACACACCGTGGGGAACCATAGGGCCTCTCAATAAGAAGAAAGAATTTATTACAGGATCTGGCCTTATAATAGGTTATTTGGAGGCAGGGTTTAAGGAAGCAAGGTTTCATTCTGGATTACATGCTGTCAGGTACTGGGAGTAATTTTACGATTAGCATCTTAGTAAATCTTATCTAGAGTAGGGAAGACCAGAACAATGCCAAACTGTAATGGATAAACAAACAGTAGTCATTCATATTATAGGGGGACAGGGGGAAGTCTGGGGATTCCTGTGGTTTGGATAAAAGTTTCTATTTTTCATCTATGTTCAGACATGATCCGGGTTGTGTTTGCTTTTTGTTTTTTCTCCATCCTTCACGAGTGGCCTTGTCTGGTGTTGATGTTCTGTGAAATCACTTATGTCCACACAGAACACCAACGCTTGGCTGATAGAGCCCGGCCAGCCCCTGGATGTCTGGGGCCGCTTTCCTCTTTGGCAAGGCTATCACACTAAGAATCAGAAGACAAAAATTATGTCCCAACTCTCTCATTTTCTGGTAATGTGACTTTGGGCAAATCATTTGATCTTTCTGAACCTCATTTTCTGCATCTGCAAAACTGTGCTACTACCATCGATTCTATCTATCGCATAGAAGGGTTAAAAGGACTGAATTATACTGTGTTTATAAAGAGAAATTTGGAGGCAGAAAAGAGTTGTGAAATGTAGGGGACTGATCTTATGATTATCATCGCCATTGGGATCATAACCATCGCCATTTTTCTAATGTAATGGTCACAACACATGGAAATGAACAAATGGTGACCATCTCTGAGTGAACTTCCCTCATTCGCATCATCATGTCAATTCAGCAAAACTGATCTCTTGCCAGTACATCCACACTGGCCCTCTGACAAAAAGAAGCACACTGGAAAGGCTCTTTAATGAGTGGGGGATGGAAATAGCAGACAGAGCACACATTTCCAAATGGTATGGGACCTGGACATTGTCTTCAACTGTCTTCACGTTGTACGTGAGAACAAGTGAAAGCAAAGCCAAGGGCTCCCTCAAGGTCACCAAGCGAGCTAATGGCAGATCTGCGCCTGGAACTGTGCCCTAGGAATTATTCCATAGCAGAAAAGGGATGTTTATTTGTCTAGAAAGGAAAAGGATGCTGGGGCAATTAGGAGAGGAACTTTTGGAGGATGAGAGGAATTAGGAAGCTGGAGACAAGGAAGAGAGAAATCCTGAAAGAAGAGACAGGTACAGTGAGGGCTTGAGATTAGGTTGCTTAGGGAGGGCTAAGATGTAGCTGTCTTCTTGGTCACAAGAAACCTTCAGTAAAATCTGTATTACTTAGCAATGCTTTTTAGCAGGGAGACTGGAGATCAGGAGGTCTAGTGCTAATGAATGAATCAACGAATGAGTGAATGAATGAATGATCTCAGGATGGCCATGGGGTGAGCACAATTTGCCCACTCTGGATCTAGTCAGATATGGCGGTATGACTTGTGGACACAAATGCTTGGACTTTGCTTTCATGGACTTGGGCAATACCATGAGACACACCCCCGAGGCGTCAGGAACACTGGTCTGTGTGTAAACTAAGTTTACTCTGAACTTACGAATGGTGTGTGAGATACAGGAGCGTGTACTGAAGAGACTGCAGCCATCAGAGAACACAAGACACCATTAAGTTATCTTGCTTTTCAAGGCTTCTGAGAATGCAACATGGAATTTACCAGGGACGGAACCATTTGCGTATATAAAGCTCAGTAGCTGCTAGTTTTAGCCAAAACCCCACAGAGCAACTGCTGGCTCCATGGTGCAGACGGCTTGTCCTTTTGTTGATTTCACCTGGGGCTGCCAAAGCTCCTTGGACATGATGAAATCTTTAACAAAAAAACAAACAAAAAAAACGATTCTACAAAGAAATGTAAATGGAGCTGGAGACCTGCGTTTGCTCAGGAGGTCTCTTGGTGAGCTCACTTCCTCTCCAGGATGGAAAAGATCGTTATTTGTAACCTGAAACTAATCTTCAATTAATCCCTTTCTGTGCACAGTAGTGTACGTGTGAAGCACCTCCTTATTTAATCTCCATCAGGATGCACTGGCCATCTCCCAGTCCTGCCAATGCCATGAATCTGGGAGCTAGAAAGACCTGGGGGCCGTGCAGTCTAATTTCTTTCCTCAACTCCCTTGATCCGGGGGCCCTTCCCCACTCTGGCTAGATGTCGTATAAGACTTCTACAACTTTCCTCCTTGCAGGTCAGAGGGTTCCCTGTTTGGACCTATTACTGAGATGATACTAAATCAGCAGCAGCATGAGTCAGGTATGCCTGTGTCACCTGGCCTGGGAACTTAACCATCCTTTAAAACATTGTTTCCTGTGAAAAGATTACCTGAATCGCTAACACTGGAATTTCTTCTGGGCTTTTGAGACATGATCATTAGGTAATAAGCAGGAGAACTCTTGAATCCTCAGGACTGCCATAGTAAACCCGGCCGCTTAGGCAAAATGATTTGCTGTCAGGTAAGTCCACCACTAAGTGTAACGGGCCTTAGGATACTTTCTCCTGGAACTGCTCTGGGCTTTCCACCATGTGCATCAATGTAAAAGGAGAACCCTGAAGGGAAACTTTAGGGGTGATCGTGCATGGGTGTATGTACTGGGAATTCTATTTGAACATATGTACTATCCTCTCTAGAAGGCATCTTGAAAGGCTGCTGCCGGCTGGTGTTAGGATGGCTTTCTGCCCATCTCGTTTAATATTAGCTACCTTGTGCCTTACTTTAAGAGGTAGGGATGGGGTCTCAGCTCCAGGGGCCTGCCCTGGTCAGGGGAGACAGAAAGAAGATGGGGAAACAGAGAGGCAGTAGAGAGGAGAGAACAACAGAAGGGGAAAAGGAGAGAGAGGAAGAGGAAAGAGGCGAGAGAGAAGGGGGAGGCAGAGGGAGACAAAGGGAGATGGAGAGAGGGGGAGGGAAGAGGGGGTGAAGGAGGAGAAAAGGGGGAGTCAGAAGAGAGAAGCAAAAGGAGGAGGTGGGGGGAGAAGGAGGGGGACAGAAAGACTCTTTTCCTGAGTAACAGTCATTCGTCCGGTTCCAGCTTTATCAAAACAAAATCTCTCAAGTCAGCCAAATCTCCCACTGCAAATACATGGCAAATGATCAGGCTAAATAAGTCCCTTTTGAACGCGGGAATCTGGGAGCTGGAGGTCGGATTTATTTCCCTCCTGGAGGCAATTTTCACGCACACTGCTTAAATCATTGCTTACTGAAGCTGTTTATTTAATTATTTAGCATCGTGACTGCGGGCCACATGTTAAAGCAGTGAGGCCGCTGAGCTGGGCACGCGCTGGAAGAGCAATTTTATGGATTACGGGCTCTGCCACAGCTGTTCCTCCAGTGGGAGCCAGTCCAGGTCACCCACCAGCTGTGGCTCTCCAGACATACACATCTGGTGGCGGGAGAGTGAGGCTCTTTCCCCAGCAAGACTCTGGGCACAAAGGCACCTGCCTCCCCATGGCATTTGGATTAGTGGCGCTCCAGATGTTTCAGTGCCAGTAATGTTTCAGGACATTTGGGCGACTGGCTTCTCGAAATGTCCATCTGTATACATTTCTTTCAGCCCTGAAGCCAAACAAATGGCATCTTCTGTCTGCAAGTGTAACAATGCCGTTCAGACACAGACCCCCTTTCCCCTTCTGCCGTGGAGGTGCATAACAGCTCCTATTTACCGCTGCTCATAACCTACAGAGGGGGCACTGGTCATACCACCCAGCGTGTTACCACGACCATGAGGCCCATGTTCATCATTAGAGTCATTATGGTGAATAACCAACTTTTGTTTAAATTTCAGGACTGTGCAGCTTAAACCCCACTGGGTGTTTTCCACGGCTGTTAGGAGCACATCTGCACTATGAAAAGGAACTACACAAACATATTCAGTCGGGGTACATCTGCATCTCGCAATTGAGCTAGGTCCAAAGTCAGCACGTACGGCAAATATGGCATGGATTCAAACTATCATTACAAATCCCTTTTACAACCCATAAAGTATGACGTGCATGGTTCTGTGTATACTGTGCTCTCTTCCAGTTAATACAACACAGCCAGCTCTTCCTCTGGCACTGGAGCAGAGAGCTTTCCTGTGGTTGAGCACCAGCTGAAGCAGCTGGTGTTTAGGTGTCATGCTACGTGAAAAATAGTTTATTCTTTTTCCCCACCCCCTAAACGAGTATCGTCAGATTTGCATAAGTTAAACGTGTGTATAGGATGCGACTCTGCCCTCGAGTAGCATCAGGGAACACATGCTTTGTTCTCTTTTCCGACACTGTAAAATGCGCGAGCAGACTTTCCCTTCTTTAGATACATCACGTGGTGTTTCATTCAACCTTCCATTGTATGTTTTTTGAGCGCTTACCGTGGACCAGACACTGCTAAGTTCTTTCTTTTCTTACCTGTTATCAGCTGAGTTAGGACTTTAGTCTGTTCGTTGAGGATGTTCACTGTAACATTTCTGGCAGATTTGAAGTACAGGGCATTACCCTGTAATAAGAAAATTAGAGAAACATATGAAAATGGCAGATTTTTTTTTCATTATAGGTTATTACAAGATATTGAGTATAGTTCTCTGTGCTATATAGTAGGTCCTACTGTTTATATACTTTATATGTGGTGGCAGCAGATCTCTAAACAAAACTGTAATCCCCACTCTCCATGGGGCTGAGCTGATCTTAGCCAAGTTCTAATTGATGTATGTTTCTTTGAAAATTCTAAATGTTTAATGATCCCCACATACATGATAATTAATTGGCATTCAATCAGAATGGATTTTCCCCAAAGAGACACACAGATAGACAGACACACTCCAAAGAGATTTCATACACACACACACACACATACACACACACACACACATCTGTTGAATCAAAGACAACAAGGATACAGAGCCCTTTAGATCTTACTGTAGATGTTAGTTAGCTCTAGTACACGGAATGATCAGGAGTGAATGATAATCTCCTACTCTCACCCTTTCTAGTTCACAATTTCTCCGAAGAACTATGCAGAGTTCTTAGTGGAGTGGAAAATGCTTGTGGAAAACACTCCAGGTTTCCCCCTCCAGCAGGTCCACTGGCTGTGACAATCCAGGTGCTCCTCAGAAAGATGGAAATCTTTCTGTAGAACGTTTGCCACGCATGGATACAAAACCCAGGAGGATCCAGCATCTCCAAGGTGGCCTCTGCCTCCCCTTTCTTCCTTTTCTTTCTCCAGATTTCTTTTCCTCCAGGCATCCTATGCCTTCAACCCATCTCCCTTTAATCAAAAAGGGTACCTGATCCCCCTGCCACATGGTGGCAGACATTTCTGAGAATGACTCAGAACAGAGGCTGGCACACTTTTAATATAAAGGTCCCGATAATAAATATTTTAGGTTTTGTGGGACATATCATCTCTGTGTTAACTACTCAAATCTGCTTCAGTGCAAATGAGCCATAGACAATACATAGACAAACAGGTATGGCTGTATTCCAGTAAAACTTTCTTTGTGGATAATGACATTTTGATTTCATATCATTTTAAACTTAATATAATCTTATTTTGTCATAAAATATTACTCTTCCTCCCCCTGCCTTTCCCCCACCAAACATTTAGAAATGTAGAAAGTATCTCAGTTCACTGGCCAGATGAGAACAGGCAGAGGGCTGGATGTAGCCCATAGGCCATATTTTGCCAACCCCCAGCTTAGACTTTCTTCCTTTCTTGGAGTAAACTAAAGCCATAAACAAAAGGACAAATCTCTGACAAAACATGTCAGTAACCAGATGGTTATTAGGAAGAAGAATGTAGGTAGTCATCCCTGTCTTTCCAAACCCTCGTTACCACATAGCATGTACCTGCCTGAAAATTCAGTTAAACCACTATGAATTGAGTCCCAAATACAGAAAAAACATCGCGCCACGAGTTGTCAGGAAAATGAAGATAGGAAAGACTCTCTTCACCTTCGAAGTCTTACATTCCAGTGGGGACAATGACGCAGCACACACACCTACAATACCAGGCAGAGGACCGTAAGGGTGATAAGGGAGCAGCAAACAGTGTGCGGGAACTTTCCTGAAGGGTGAGACTGTTCCTGGCTTAAGGCTGTGGAGTGAGATGCAAAGGGGATGATCATGCTGAGCTGAACCTGGAACAGAATGTAGATAGGCTTTTCCGAAGATGGAATGAGAAAACGAGGATGGCTGTGGGCTGACTGTCTTATGTTCTTTTCTTCGAAAACAGGTGATTCATGGGCCCAGCCTAGGCCCTGCAGGCAGTGGAGTGGCAGAGCTGCGCTGACAGGCAGCTCGGGCCAAGGTCTGAGTTTTCACAAGCGGCGAAGACTGATGGGGCGGCCACCACCAAGGCGTTTTCCACACACTGATGGTCTAGAGCCACGGTCCCTCTCACCCGAGGTTAACTGATGAAATGGATAAATGGATAACTGACCCGCTCAAGCCCTGAGAAACCAGTTAACCTTGGGTGAGAGCTCTTGTCCTATTGTTGAGGAGAGAGAGAACTTCTGCCACATCTGGGCAACCACTGATTCACTGTGCCCCTCCCCCAACCCCCGGTAGCTTGAAATTAAAATTTTGCCTGATGAATACAGGTTTTTTTTGTTCTGTTTTGTTTTTTATTACTTGGATCAGGGAAGAAGAAATACATTGAATCTAATATTGACACAGGTTTTTTTTTTTCTTTTTTTCCCCCATCCATTAGGAAACAGATATTAACCTAAAATAGTTTCTTTGCCATTGCTTCTGGCAGGGCTTAACTGTGCTATTTCAAACTTACAAACAATTCAAGCAATGTGAGAACTCAGAACCTGGAACCTGCCTAGAGGATATAGGTTTCTAGAAGTTAAAGCACTAACTCTTCATATATCGAGCAACCTCGCACTGCAGAGAGAGGGGTGACCCGGAATCAGACAACTGGAGAAACTCCATGGCCACTGACCAGTGTGAAACCTTGAGCAAATCATGAATCATTCTGTGGTTCATTCTCTGCAACATCGATATCAGCAGCAGCTCAGGGCTGACATAACTGAGCCCTCTCTATGAGCCACGCACACAGTAGAAGCCCTGGAGTCAAGCTACCTAGTTTCCAAGCTCCACTTTACCACCTCCCAGTTGGGTGGCTTTGGGCAAGTAACTTAAGTGTTGTAAGCCTCAGTTTCTTGATATGTGATGTTGCACATATTATTATTAAATTATTAAAAGATACGTCTTATTAAAATTATTAAATTCTCTGTGTAATGAACTGTGTTCCAGGCACACAGTTAAGTCCTCTGTAGTTGGTAGGGTTAGGGGAGGGGGCAGACAGGGCAGGTCAGTGACAGAGGCAGGAGGAGGCGGAGGGGGAGAGAGAGGAAGAGGAGCGGGGAGGGGGAAAGGAGGGAGGAGGAAAAGGTTGACCTTTCTTTGTATTACCTAATCCTTATAACCTATCTGTGAACTAAGTCAGGGGTATCCTCTACATCCAATATTCTGTCTCCAGATTTCAAAGGATCTCCCTCTCGTGGCCGGTTCACTATTATCTTTCAAATCCCAGTATCTTCAAACGTATCTGCCTGCCCTTAATATTCACAAAATTCTATTGAGGAAAAAAAAAAAATCTCTACAGCTTTGATCAAGGTTTGTAGCAAGAGATAAAATAAAGCCAGCCATTCCCTTTTATTGCTAGATCAAAAGATTAACATATGGCATTAATTGGTCTATCTATGATGCTTAGCACGCTGGGAAACAGTCTTTGCTACATGAGGGTTTAAACAAAGAGCCTCATTCTAGCCTGGGACATCTTGCTATAATCCTCCCATATACAGTACCTGAAAACAGAAAGATCACCAGGAAAAAAGCACAAACCACCAGTTAACAAACTCTGACTCAGCTGGGTCAGGGCCATTTTATTTGGCTCTCTGGCTCGCTTTACTGAGGTTAAACCAGGAAACAGCAGCCAAGCGAAGCATCCCTGCGGTCTCTGTGGTATCAGAACCAGTAGGGGAAACACTTTATGAGGAGAGGCTAAATTCTGCTCTCTCAGCTGCTTCTCTTTCCTGTCTCCCTCCCACTCACCACTGCAGCCTCTGGGCCTGGGGAGGTTAATGTCTGCCACAGGACAGCCTGCTCTGGGGCCAGTGACTCTCACTAAATGACTTCAAGGCAACCATCCAAGGACAAGGGGCTTATGGGGAACCCGAGGGAGGCTCAGCCCCAGCTGGCGGAAAGGAAGGAGTCTGGCCACCCCGAGGGTGTTTGATGATGATTATCAGAGCTCTGGACCGGAGCAAGTCAGTCTGTGGCCAATCAGCCCAGATTCTCCTGGACACAGGGTGAGGCTGCTTGGGACATGAGGAAGGGGGACACACACCATTTCTCCCACTTTGGGAGATCAGGACACTCCACATCAGGACTCTCCCCAAACAACTAAAGCATGCAGCATTTGGATGGAGAAGAACCCCCATCGTATCTGTTTCTTTAGAGCAGAACATGCAGAACAGAATCACACATTTTCTTGATGCCGCAAGACCACTGCAGTGAACATTACTTATCCCACAATGCTTTCCAGGGACTACTGTATGCATGTGGCTGTTTGAACACTAAATGGCTCCATCATGCTGACATCTTAAAATTAGTGTATCTGATTTTTTGAAATGTATTATTTGTTCTCATGTGAAGGCAGTCCATATAAACATCAAATACGACAAAGCTTATATTGAAGGGCAGTGGTTCATACCTCTCACCACCTTGAAAGCAAGAGCTTTCAACTTGCCAGGATTCTCCTTCAGGTATTTCCCTCCCCATGGCCCAAAATACACTTCTGTGCTATCGCTTATCTATCAACTTTAGACGTCATCCACTGAATTTCTCCAATGGTATGGACTCTTCCATGCAATTTTGGTCAAATCAATATTCAGAATCTACATTATTATGATTATGCATAATATTGTCCACAGCTGAGCGAAGTCATGTTCTTTGATTACATTTCCTTCTTCTTTCTTGTACGCTTTGTTTTCTTTTCATAGAGTCAATAAATGCTTCATTAAAAAAAATGCTTTATTTTCTACTTTTGTTTTTTTCCTCCTAATGTTGAATTCTTTTTCTTTAGGTTCTATATCCTGGGAAATAACCTCAGCTTTAAGTTCCAATATTTCTGCTGATTTTTAAAAAAGCTTTTACTACAGTACTTGTAATTTTCAAGAGCTTTTTCTTATTTTTTGAAACTTCACTTTATACCATCCCTTCTATGTTTGACTGACACACTATCCTCTCTTAGACGAAATAAAAATGCTCTTTGGAAACTGGGTTTCTGGAAGAGTAAACCTTGCCATAGGGAACTGGGGAACTGGCTAATTCAATGGAAAACCTCCAGATGTCAGTATCCGTGGGCAGTCAGTAACTGTGGGCTAGTTTCATCAAAGAGGAATTCTCTAAACTCCTAAACTCTCTCAACTCTTTCTGACATTTCATTGTTAGTGCAAAGAAATGCAAAAGATTTCTGTATGTTAATCT